AGAAAATAAACAACTTTTCGACAAGTTTTTGTCATAATCAGACAAAACCTTGTCGAAACGTTGTACATTTGCTGTCATGTTAAACTTATATTAAAGTTTTTCTTCATTACCCATTTAAGCCGTCTCCAGCCATTAATAGTAGATTCATTCAGTGACAGTAGTCAGTACGTAATGCTAGTGTTAATGTTAATAATACACATTATTATTGCACATTGAAAAGTTACACGCTTTTCCTTTTAATTCCTCAATTTGTTATCATCAAAGTTCAGGATGACCCATGGAGTTTTTTTAGAAATTAGCATAATGTATTACCATTGTAGTGGTAATATAAAAAACTATAACCTGAGCAATTTCGAAAGGTGGACCTTTTGAAAGCGCTCAGGTTATAGGGTTTTATCATTTTATATTGCGAAATCTTGAACCTACGTGTTTTTCTGACACTATCATTGTATGGGTAGTTTACCTTGTTTACTTGGATAAAGTCATTATTATTGAACACAATGTAATAATCCATAAATCAGTTTAAATTTAGCTTGGTATTGATGAAACAAAATTAATGCTGGATTTTTCCTTTCTGAGAACAGGAAACAGAGGGTATTTTACGCAAAGAAACCAAGTTACTAGATGACCATTTACCTACATCTTCACAATCCAGTTCAGATGTGACAAGTGTATTGTCCTCATTTAAAAGGTATGGTATTTTGATAACAACACAAATCTTGCTTATTTGCAGTGTTTCATAACTAAGTATACAATAGAAATGAATACTATAATCTTACTAAAATCATGAACCATAATAGCTGATAATTACTCAACAAATGTTTTATACCATACTAAGCATAATCAAAATAGTAGCACAAGGATTTGTAAAGAAAATCATGTGTTAGAACTTTCTCAAGTCAAATGGCGTACATTCACAATTCGAAAATGTGGGGCCTAGACTTTTACAGTCTTCACAATAGGACTACACACAGACCAAATTAATTTAACATGTTTACAAGAAAGGATAAGAAAATGTAGCACAGTTGTTTTTTAGACTAACAAATTTTGTATTTTTATGAGCAAAAGGTTTGTTTTAACTATAGAAATCAAAAGTACCTGCCCCCAGTGATGGGAAAAGTTTTAATTTCATCTTTTAATTTAAGTTATTTCATGGACTTTAAAAAAGTTGTTTTGCAATCTTGGTTTCACTCAGTGCCAATACTTGGAGCTAATTTTACTGCCCACCACAAAAAAGTAATTTTTGAGCATTTCAGTCATACAAAGAGCCACTCAACCATAATGTACGCTAAATCTACATTTTCATTCTTTAAGTTACATCACATTTTGAAATGTAAATGATAGTGTGATTAATTCCTAACAATTTAGTGTAGAATATTTTGCTTGCAAAATAAAATTTGGTATCAACATTATTTATGCCTGTTTCCCATCTTTTCAAAAGTGAATGTTGTGCTTTGCTTGCATGCGCAGCTTTTGAAACGGAATACAGACAAATGCTCAGACAAGCACCACTGTTCACAATATATATAAGATGAAATGTTGTATTTTTTACTTGTGTTATATATAATGACAATATAATAATAGATTTTCATAAGAAAGTCTTTATATACAAAGCCATGAGAGAAACCTGTGTTACAGGTATTTCAGTATGTATATCATTTATTTGTATAATAAAAATTGTAATGGAACCTGTCATAAGGAATTAAAACATTAAAAGTGTAGATTATTGAATGTTTCAATCTGATTTTATAATTTATCAGTTTAAAAGTTTAACAAGTTGATTGACATCTAACATAATGTTTTGGGGAAACATGTGACCTATTTGTCCATTTCAGCTGTCCATCCTCTAAAGTAAACTAAAACTATTAAATGAAAAAAATCTTAAAGCCAGCTCTTATCAAGCTTTCTCTTAAACTCACTTAAATTTGCTGCCTCCACAAAATTTATGCTAAAGAAAAAAAAATTTCACTTTTAAAAGAGACAAAACATACATAACAGACTATTAACCCTTTTGAGATGGATCATGGGTGAATTTAATGAATTTATGTCAATAACTTTGGTATCACACTGTAGATTATAATTCAAATTTTAGTACTGTATATTCCTCAAGTTCTTAATTTATAAGCAAATATTAAAAAACACAGATAAACATTGATTTTTTGTGTCGTGGTATGTTGAGTACAGCACTGGTTCAAATTAGATGTTTGTGAAGTCAAAATACAAAGCCTGTAGTTTTATACGAACTAGAAACACAAATTACCAATATTGACAAGCTCGAATCTAAAATAAGAGCCTCTTATCTTTTCAATTTGCTAAGATATTGCTCATGTACTGAATCAAACACAGTGGCACCCC